AGGGGCTGATGCCATGGGGTGAGGCTTTCTCTTCAGCTCTCTGGCTGAATAGCAGAAGGCAGGCCTTGGTGGTCTCTAGGTCTCTAGACGGGTCACAGTGTCACCTGGATGAGTGATGTCATCCAGTCTGAGCAGGGAGAGTGAGGCTGGATGGGGGTTGGCTCAGTAGGTGCTGGGATCTTCATCATGGTAGAAGACTGATTGTGGCAGAGGTAGAAATGGTGCCCGGAGTCTATTGTTCCAGCCCTCTGTTTATAGTTATGAACTTCCCCAGCTGCTGCTGGGCTGTCATGTGACTTGGAGATGGCAAATGGACAGACTGGGTAGAGTGCTTGCTGCACACACCTGAGGACCTGAGTTCGATCCCAGATTTGGGACGCAAAGACAGGAGGATCTCAGGAACTCACTGGTTGACCAGTTTAGTAAACTGGTTAGCTCTAGGTTCAAGGAGATCTTACTCTTCTGCAAATGTAAGATAGAGCTGGGAAGCCGGGTGGTGGTGGCACACGCCTTTAATCCCAGCACTCGGGAGGCAGAGGCAGGCGGATCTCTGTGAGTTCGAGACCAGCCTGGTCTACAGAGCTAGTTCCAGGACAGGCTCCAAAGCCACAGAGAAACCCTGTCTCGAAAATCAAAAAAAAAAAAAAAAAAAAAAGATAGAGCTGGGAGGTGGCTAAGTGAGTAAGATCACTTACTGTACACACAGGAAGGGCTGAGTTCTAACCCCCAGGCACCACACAAAAATCTGGACCTGGTTGCACACATTATTGTAAGTCCTGGTAGGGAGATCTCTGGGACTTGGTGGATGCTGACTTGGCTCTAGGTCCAGTGAGAGACCCTGTCTTAAGGGAACAAATCAGAGAGTGAGAAGTAGGGAGCCTGACATTTTTCTCTGTCCTTTGCATTCTTGCACAGTGTACCCCCAAATACATGCATGAGCACACATATACTACGCATGTGCACACACCAACGAGAAAGGAAATAGCTGGGTGACTTTAGGAAGGGAGGTGTGCCCTGTGCTTCTTTCCCTGCCTTCTAGCTGCAGGAATGCAGGTGTGATGGGTGGCACCCGAGCAGCTCTTTTGGCCTGTGAGGAGGCAGCAGAGTGGCTGTTAGGATGTCCCCCGAAGAAAACCATCTTGGCTCTGAATCCTGACCTCACAAAGCCACCTGGCAGCCTGGACGGTCAGCTCCAGACCTCTTTTTACAGTTGCGAGAGAAATAAGTCCTGTCTTATTTTAAGCTGCTGTTTTCATCTTTCCTGTTGACGCACACAGCCAAACTGGGACACTGCTGCTGGTAGAAAGGGGTGGGAGGCAGCTTGCGGAGTCTGGGCTGGATCAGGTCAGGGATGATGAGATGGAGGAGCGGGTGTTGTACTGATGCCGGGGGACAGCGCCTTGTAGGGAGCCTTTCTTAGCCACGGTTTCTATTGCTTTGAAGAGAGCACCGTGAACAGAAGCTGATGCAGAGGCATGGAGGGGGGATGCTTCCTGGCTTGCTCAGATTGCTTTCTTACAGAATGCAGGACCAGGAGCTCAGGGATGGTACCACCCACAATGGACTGGGTCCTTCCCCATCAATACTAAGTAAGAAAATACCCTACAGGCTTGCCTACAGCCTGATCCTATGGAGGATTTTTTTTTTTCAATTGAGACTCCCTCCTCTCAGATAACTTTAGCTTATGTCAAGTCAAAGTCAACATAACACTATCCACTACAGAGGCACAAACCTAGACTCCAGGGTGCAGAGGAGAGGCGAAGCTGAGTGGGGGTACAATCCGGTTTGGTCTCCAACAAGGACATTGCTAAGGTGGACAAGGGGGGAAGTCACAGCTGAGAAGGGACATTGGGGCCAGGAAACCCAAACGCAAGCATCTTGCAGCTCCTGTGAAAATGGGGTCTTTGGGTGCGGCAGGCCGCATGAGCAGATGAGCTGTGAGCTGGGTCTGTGAAAGTGGAAGATGCAGGGAAGCTTGTTCAGTGGAGCCCCAAGAGGATGCAGAAGAAAACAGGAGGATAAAGGGCCCAGGAGCAGCACCTGTGGGGACCAGGGCGTGGATGCTGGAAGGAAAGATAGCCTACTAAGGGGACTTGTCCAAACACAGAAGTCCCCAGTAAGAAATGTAGGCTGACTAGGAGACTACTGTTAGGCCTCTGACATCTGAGAACCTTCGAGATTCTTCCTCACGATGCCCTGGGGGAAATACTGGTGTCTCCAGGACAACAGGCCAGGACCCTAAGGGGACTCCACTTCCGCTAGGATGGTCTGTGAATACTGGAGTCCTGCTGGTGGCAATGAACTTGAAAGTTCCAAAGCCTGAACATGATGGCCAGCTGATGGCAGCAGGAGTACTGCAGCTGGAGTAGCTGGGGCGGGAGGTTCCTTGAAGCCTGAAGTCCTGGCAACTCCTGTGGACTTTCAGGTTAAGCTTCCAAGTCTGGACTGTGTGACAAGTGTTCCGGAAGCCCTGGGGAGAGAGGGGTGATGTGGCCAGATTAGGGCTGAAGAAAGATCATCATGGCTGCCTGTTCTGGCTACTGAAAAGGAAACCAAGGCTGGCCAGGAAGCTCCGGTGGCCCCAGGGATGGGAAGAGAGCCGGTATATTCCCCTGCACCTGGATGGCGCCTAGGGCTTTGGACCCGGCCAGGTCTAGTGCTCTGGGCGACTGCACAGATGAGGGTGGAGGTGAGGTTTGTGCCTCACTTGCCTTACAGACCAGAAATCCCAGCAAGGAAGAGAAGGTTGGGAGATGAAGTGGGGTGTGTGTGTGTGGGGGGGGTGGGATGGAGGAGAAAGAAGAGGCCTGGACAGCACCAGCTAGGCTAGTCAGTGTCACCACCACAAACCTAGCTACGATGACACTGGGTCATTTGAAACTGGGTCTGTGGTTTCTGATTTTTGCCCAGGGATAATTATTTCTTTCGACTTTATATGTGCTTTAAGTTTTCTTAATGGATTCTGTTTATCTGGAGGGAGGAGCTAAGCCCAAGGTTTGCAAGCAGAGCGCGGCACCCTTCCTCTCCCGTCTCCACTAGGACAGTCGGTCATCATGGCTTCCTAAGAAGCTTCCAGGAGTGGTCTATGCTTAGGAAACCTGGCTGCCAGTTTCCCTGTCACTGTGGTTATGTTTCTCTCTTCTGTGCAGAAGAACTTCCAGGGGAGTAGGGAAGTGGGATGGAAGAGAATTGCCAGCCATTTTCTGTGGCTGTAACTCAGTCATGACAGAGAAGTTTGTTGGGCTTACAGCTGTGGACACTCAAGAGCGTGACAGTGGCGGTGGGTAAGGCCTTCCTGCTTCACTGCGGCATATGGCAGGCACCCCATGTCCAGATAGAGTGGCGTGCTGGCTCTCGTCGCTCTTCCAAGCAAGTCACTCCTGCCATGACCCCTCCCCATGACCTCCGAAATATCTATCTCCACAGACCATCGATGTACGAATTTGGGGGTTGAATTTACAAGTATTTGGAGTGCACTCATACCCCACCATGGAGAACTGGCTTTTACTTCACACCTTCACGTGGGCCCTGGATGCATTCCTGTGTATCAGTCCCCACTACCTGCCCAGGCAGAAACCGATAAAATGCTATTACAGTTTGGATATGAGGTACCCCTAGAAAGCTCTTGTGCAGAAAGCCTGGTTCCCTGATGTTGCCATTAGGAAGGCTTGGAATCACGAAGATGCAATCTGGATGTGCTACTAGGAAATCCCAAAACAACTACAACACTGGCAAGTCTCACCCAAGCATGGATGATCGCATCCACATAGCTGCTAGGAGGAGTCCCTTCTTCCGCTAACCTTGTACACTTTATAGCATGTAGCACCCATGAATCCAGTTATAAATCGCTGGTTGGTGGGTGGGAGGGGGAGGCTGGACCTCACATGAGGGTCTGATGACACTCTCTTCCCCTTCTGTGATGGGGGGGGTGAAGGTCAGCAGCTCTAATCTTGAGGATATCTCATGGTACTCACGGCTTTTTTTTTTTTTTTTTAAATAAGAAGCAGCATCAGCTTACTGTATTTCCTCCAAGCAGGGCATTAAAACCAGGATAAAGGGAGAAAGAAATGGGACGACTGGGGGAAAGGCAGTGAACTCTTCCCATCTGTGGTCCCATGATACTAGTCATTCATTTAAGAAGAAATGCAAGACTGTCCAATGTTAGAAATGAAGCCATGAACTGAACCCCTTCCCCATCTCACCAAGAGAGAAAGAAGAACCTAATGCTATGAACTGAATCCCTTCCCCATCTCATCAAGAGAGAAAGAAGAACCTAACGCTATGAACTGAATCCCTTCCCCATCTCACCAAGAGAGAAAGAAGAACCTAACGCTATGAACTGAATCCCTTCCCCATCTCACCAAGAAAGAAGGAGAAACTGTGACTTTGAAAAGAAGGTTGTAGAAGGCCCAATCAGTGACCCATCAATTTGTCAAGCCCCCCCCCCCAAACCAGGCACCCCTGACTGCTAGCCTGAATAAAGGGCATCTCAGAAGGCTAAGATAGGTGGGGTCAATGGGAGATAGGCACGTAGCAGGAGCTAGCACGGGAATCGGCCAGGGTGCCAAGAAGGATGTGTTTGTGGGCGGTTTGGGTGTTAGGGTGTGTGTGTGTGTGTGTGTGTGTGTGTGTGTGTGTGTGCGACCAGAAGACAACGAGCCTTGCATAGTATGTGTGAGATTCATTGGGGGCCGGTGTGAGCAAAGAAGGGCCTACCCCCTCAGGTTCTGTGCATAGCTAGGTCCCTGTGCCACAGCTACCGTGTGTGTGTGTGTGTGTGTGTGTGTGTCTGTGTGTCTGTGTGTGTGTGTTGCCGCCACACACGGTGGCTGCCCCTAGGCGTAGGAGGAGATCTTATCAGCGCTAGGTGTGTGTGGAGTTTCAGGCTACCTCATCACCCCCTATTTCTCCACCTCCCATTGGGCCTTGCTCCTCATCCTCTGTACAGGAAGTGGGCTCGCCCTGGGTTTCGGTCTGTTGTTGGCCTAGCTGCTGTCTGCTACCTAAGCTGCGGAGCAGGAGATGGCCGTGAACCCACTCTCCGGGTGGCCTGCAGGGAGCATACCGCCTCAACTCCATGTTGCAGCCAGGTAATGTCTCTGTGTTGTCCTCTGGGAGCTCAGGGTACCCTGCCACCTCTTGGTGATCTTCCCTGGGGACGTGGGGCTGGGGAGACACTCATCTCTGACTCAGTTCCCCTCATAGTTTCTGTCTGAGTTTTGATGTTCAACCTTGTCTTAGGATCCCCTTGGGATGGAGTAACTTGACTGTTCTGGTTTCTCCTTTAAGAATAAGCCCCTTCCAATGTCAGTGGCTCCTTTCCAGCCTATACTGTGGGGGTCTGTGAGCCCCTTTGCTGTGAGGGCTTTCCCTGGGCCCCACGTGGTGATGTCTTAGCCCAGAGGGGTAGAGGATGAGCAAGACTCAGAGACGACAGAGTGTGGGGGACAGGTGGGATCCACCGCTGCTTCCTGTGGAGTGGGTCTCAGACTGAGTACTCCTTAGGCGGCTAGGGAGGGAGAGAGGGGAGGAGAATCTTCCCTAGGACCTGGCTGTGAGCCGGCTCTGTTGATCAACATTATCTGAGGGCCTTAGGCTGGAGGCCAGAGGTAAGGCTCTAGCTTAGATGTGCCTCTTAGCTTACTGAGTGGCTAGAGAAGCCAAGAGTGTCTCCAGACACTGGGACCCATCTCTGACGCTGCCTGAGGTAGGAACTTTCCACCGTTGTGTTTGTAGCACATGGGGGCCAAGGTGGGTGGCTGAGGAGGGCAGAACTATCTTTGAAGGTTACCCTTCTTCCACAGCAAAAGGTAAGCAGTGTGTGTGTGTGTATGTGTGTGTGTCTTTGGGGAGGTGGGCAGAGAAAGGACATCTGAGGTCAAAGGTCAGCAGGTCAGATATGCAGTCTCCTGCTTCCCATCCTCCCTCAGCCGAGACCCTGGATCCCACAGACCTGTAGAGCCTCAGACTGCCCCAGGCTGAGACTTGTTCCTTCTGTCCTGGGAAACAGCCTGATTTGGGGCCATGTAGAAAGAACCATCATAGGACCTTCTCTTGTGCTGTGAGACCATGCTGTGACATGTGTGGGTTAGTCCGGGACAGGGATCATGACTGTCACCGCTGACCCTGCTCTGTTGCCGTCATCACTGTGACCCAGTTAGAACAGCCGGGGCCTGTGGGATGACAGGGCCTGCCGAGGCCTCAGTGGTGACATATGAGTCAGGGGTGGGAGCGTTTGGTAGCTGTGAAGGGCATGCGTGGGTGAGCCTCAGGGGGAGAGTGCCTGAGACTCAGGTCTTGAGCTGTGCTTGCTCTGCCCGAGGCTGGCCTCATGCTGTGGAGTTTTGAGTGGCTTCCTCAGTCTCCCAGGGACTCCATTTCCTTCTTATTAAGAAGGGGGCCAGTACCACAACAGCATGGAGATACCCCGCCCCTAGCCAGACGTTTCTAGAAACTGCTTCCATATTTTCTTCTGTCTTACACTGTCCTTGATGGGTGGATATTCCTGTGACTGATCAGCCAGCTTTGGACTGGGGAGCGGGCATGAGAGCTTTATCCTAGGCCTGCTGTGCTTTGAGCTGATTCTTGTGGTCTGGCCCCGACCTGCCTATGCTTTTGCCGCTTTCATCCCACTTCCTCTCGCCCAGGGTTATGTCCCAGGTCTCTTACAGCTTGAGGCTGCTCAGATGTCTGGGCCAAACCTGGGTGACTCCCTCATCAAAGCCTATAGGACTTCAGCTCATGTGGGGACCCCTTGCTTAGGTTCTTCAGGGACCTGGAAGGGCTTCCTTCTGACCCAACTACCTGCAGGGAGCTGATCCTTCGGGACAGGGAGGTCCCAAGTAGAACCCCAACTCTGAAGACTTGACCCTGGGAGCCTCAGTCTCCACGTCTGTGTAGCAAGGACACAGAACATCTGCTGAGCTGCCAGGCAGAAGAGAGTAGCTGGAAGCCCGAAGGCCTTGGCACACGGTCTGGGCAGAGCTCACTGAACATCCCTGGCAAGCACTGTCACCAGGTCGTCCGGCATTACTCGCTGCCCTGCAGATCCCTGAACACATGTGGTTCCTTCAGGGCACGACATTTATTGAGCATCTCCTGTGCAACAAGCTCACCATTTGGAGTGGGCATTCTGCCTTGCCAGTCTGGCAGCTGTAGTACCAGAGGGTTGGACAGCAACCCAAGGCAAGACATCCTTCCTTCACAGGGGAACCCAGTGAGTGCCGCAGAACTAGGAGGAAGGGGAATTTGAAAGGGACATTAAAGGGTAGCAGGAGCCTCGGGGACACTGGAGAAAGGACAACCCCAGAAAGGCTCTCTGATGACCAGGCCAGAGAGAGTCCCCAGCTTGTGTAGCCTGCCAGAACAGCCTAAGGCAGGGCTCAGCCTTGCTTTGCAGGCTCCTCTTGGTGGCCCTGTGGTGTCTCCTCCTCTGAGCCCACCCTTCCACTTTCGTCCCATTGCATTAGTTCATGCCATGAAAGGTGAGGGCAGAGCATACAGGGTACCCCAGGAGCCCCATGGCTGGCCAGAAGCTGTCTGATATGTGAGAAGTACTACGTTGGTAACCAGAGGCCCAGGGATGAATAAAATCCAAAATGTGCCTTGTCCTCGCGGATTGTCTACCACTCCTGTGCATGGGTGTGCATGTATGTGAGCGTGTGTGTGCGCATGTAAGCACGAAAACGGATGGGTAAATATGGCATTCCCCTTGTTTTCCACTGCAGTTTCTACAGTTTTAGTTACCTCCATCAACCGTGGTTGGAAAATATTAAACAGAAAATTCCGGAACAAAGCAATTCATTCATTTTGAATTGAATAGTTGAATACTGTTCTAAGTCTTATGCGAAAGCCTTGAGCTCTCCTTCTCTCTCCTGCACGGGGCCTGAGCGATTCCTTTGCCCAGAATATCCGTGATATAGATGCTTTTTCACTCATCTGTCCCCTAGGGGGCTTGATTGTCCAATCCCCTGTGCAGAGCTCTCAGTGCTGTGAGTGCCCGGTCACCCCACCTCACCTGGTTACACCGGGTGGGCACCTGCTGGAGGACACTTTGAGTGGGAGAGACCTCTTTCACACCATGCTCAGGAGAGCCTGCCGATGTCCCTAGGAATCTTTCTGTACCGCTCACACTGCCACCTGTTTCTCATGATGGCTCTGTCATGTATAGGACAAACATAGTATGCGTAAGGATCGGTTTGGTTCAGGATCCTTGGAGGTCCCCTCAGGGGAACAGATTTACTTACTACTGTCCACAAGCAAACAGACAATGCTGATGCAAAAATTGGAGCGACTCCTGATTAGGATGGGAAGGAAGGGAGTGAGCGCCTGTGGTCAGAGGGCCTGGGGCTGGACTGCTCTGGCTCTGGCTAGGTGGAGAGCCAAGCCGGGTGTGGGTCCTGACTTGTTCTCATTTGAATCTCTGGTCTCCTCCACTTAGGGCTTGTGTCCTCAGCTCCGCAGCTTGGATGTGATGGCTGCCACAGCTCTGGCCTGGTGTCTGTCCCTCTACGTCCTCCTCTTGCCCTTGCCTGCACCTTGGGTGTCTGCAGCAGTGAACGGTAAGGTCGCAGCATTTTGATATCTTTGCTTTCCCTGGTGGGAGGCAGCATCCCAGACTCTTCCTTCAGAGAGGAGAACCTATGACAGCAGGAGGCAGGGGAGCAAGGATGAGGTGATGGGACCAGAGGGCAGGTGCCCACAGTCCGGTGTCCTAAATAGGCTTCTCCTAGGCACAAGGAGAGGCTGCCGATTGTCCCTGTTTAGCCATTCATTGGCTGCTGGTCCTTCTATCTCAGGAGCTCACTTTCCTTTCTTTGAAATGTGTCTGAATTGGGAGGGGGAGGGGTGACAGGTGGCTCAGTGGGTAAGGTGCCTGTCCTGCAAACGTGAGACTTGAGTCCACATTTACAACACTAACATAAAAACTATTCAGGAATGGGCTGGCAAGGTATCCCAGTGGGCAGCGCTTATCTCACAGACCTGACGATCTGAGTTCAGTCTCCCAGATCCCAGGGTGGAAGGAAACAGCCAATTCTCAAAAGCTGTCTTCTGGCCTCTACACACGTGCCGAGGCATCCGTGCCATGTGCACCTACGCACAGGTGCACACACACATTCTAAGGGGAAGAAAAAGCAAGGCATGGTAGTAAACACTTGCAATCCCAGTGATGAGGTGGAGACAGGAGGATTCCCGGGGCTTGCTCCCCAGCCAGTCTAGCTAAATTGTCAAGCCAGGGTTTCAGTGAAAGACCCTCTCAAAGACCCAAGGAGGATGGTGCCTGGGGTTCTCTGGTTTCCACATGCATGTGCACAGCGCATGCAAGCACACACAGACACAACATGACACGAGCTAGAACCCTTTTCCTGCTTTTCTGAGTCACCTACCTCCCCCGGGCAGGCACAGGGTGCTGGGAGCAAGGTAGTAGATGTGCCCAGAGGCCATGTGTGCCCTGCAGCCTGCCACTCACACCTCCTTTGCACACAGACTGTCCCCATCTTAAGTGCTTCTACGACTCAAGAGCCAATGTCTCCTGCACGTGGAGCCCAGAAGAGACCTTTCAGGTCACAAACTGCCAAATCCAAGCCAAGTCGGACCAACGGTGAGTGTGGCCGGCCTGTCACAGGGCAGAACCTCCGGGCTGTGGGAGCTCTAAGCTGTAGAATCCTGAGCCTGAGACTCATAGTAGTTAGCATCAGGCTCAGCCACTTGGTCGTCTGGGCTCCGGCAAGTGGGTGGGATCCAGACTCTAGTTGAAAACTGGAGAGGTCCTGGGCCAGGTTGTTTGGGGACAATCAGTGAGAGCCTTTGATGCCAGGCCATGTCAGAGGCAAACAGGGTGGGCACTTCATGCTTCCTAAGTTTTTTGAGTAATCTGGTATTTTGGGAGAGCCCTCAGGCAATTGTGGGACCAGGGACCATTGCCTGGGGGTGATGTTGTCCTGTAGGGACAGGGGATATCTGGCAAGCCACAGGCTTCTTTAGGCTGAATTTAACTGCTTAGAACTTGGGGAACTCTTGGAGTGGGGGTGAGGCCTGAGCTGATTTGTGTTCTTTGGTCACCCTGGCTGCTGGGAGGCCATGATGGGTGTTGGGGTGGTGAAGGCATGGAAGGTGTTCTGGAGAGGAAGAACTCTGGGAGCACAGGGGGCAGCTGGCTCCTTGCCCACTGTGCTGCTGTCCCTAGTTCCTGGTACAGCAGCTGAGGGTGGTGCTGGGAAAAGGGTCTCTGGGTAGCTCTTTAGTCCTGCCTTGCTTTCTAAGGTGTCTTTTCTGTTTTGCAAGGTCCTGGAATACAACCTGTAATCTATTTCCTGTGACACAGGCATCCTGGGCCTGCAACCTGATCCTTGGACGCCCAGATGTAAGTAGCATGGGCAGTGTGTGTGTGTGTGTGTGTGTGTGTGTGTGTGAGAGAGAGAGAGAGAGAGAGAGAGAGAGAGAGAGAGAGAGAGCGGTCAAGTCCTTTCAGCTGTAAGAAGCATGGGCATTGTGCGTGCGTGTGTGTGTGTGTGTGTGTGTGTGTGTGTGTGTGGTCAAGTCCTTTCAGCTGCGGGCTGAGTTCTCAGAGTGGTCCTGGACTTCTGCAAGCATCAGCCTGGTGATGGAGAGCAGGTTACATGCACTGAGAAGGAAGGATAGGAGGTGGTTATTGGGCCTGCAACCTTGTTGCCCCCACACAAATGCTTGGTCCCTCACTTCCTACTGTGGGTCGGGCTGCCCTTCTGTGTCCTGCTGATGATGACCATCATACTAGACTCTGGCTGAGGCCTCAGCGTCTCGGCTCTTGGGGAAAGTGGCATGCTAAAGTTGGTCATCTCGGCCATGCCGCTGCCTCAGAACAGCTCTCTGGATTCGTGCAACTTCAGTGCCTCAATTTCCCCTCCCATAAAATAGAAAAGAAAATGGAAGCGCCCTCAAAGGGTCATTCTGGTTCAAAGCAGATATGGAGAGTCAGAAATAGATCCCCACAATTTTGTCTTCTTACCAAGGAAGCATCTAAGACGGAGAGATGCGGTGTCTGCTGAAGGTCACCCAGCCACAGGCAACTGAGCTGGGATTGACCCCCGTTCTGTGGGCTCCTGCTGACTTTTCCACATCTCCCATCTCTTGTTGGGCCCGGGTCTAGACCATGTGAATGGAATTTAAAATTTTCCTCAGATCCTTTGAAGAAAGGGGCAAGGCGGGGGCAAGATAGGGGTAAGGGTCTACCCCCGAGGAGCCCAGGCTGTGCTGTCCAGGCTGTGGCAGGTTTCACACATTCTCAGAGGAAGGGGAGGGGAGGATGGTGTATATCACAGCTGGCGAATCTCCAGCTATGCCAGCATGGGGGCTTTGCAGGGACCTACCTTCCAGCCTGGCCCTAGCTGTGTGACCTTTGGCAAGTCCCTAACCCTCTCTGTATTTCAGAGTGCTGGGCTAACTGATGGGAATAGTGATAGTATAAGTCTGTCTCAGAGGGTAGTGAGAGGTAATTTATGCAAAGAAGAGGGGACAGAAGTCCCCAGCAGCCTGGTACTGGCAATACCTTCAGGACAACCACAGCAAAAATAACCGAGCCATGCTATTATTATGTGGGTGAACCGGAACTGGTAGCAGCTGTGGGAGACGCAGGCAGAGCCCTCAGTGAAGGGGTTGGGAGCAGTTCCTGGTTGGTTGGTCAGGGTACTCTGATGGCCAAGTTCAAAGTTTGGGTTGGACGGAGGAGTTAGGCCTCAAGGTTTGGACTACAAACCACAACCCAGTCCCAGAGCATAGGTCGTACCGTGTCCTACTTCTGGGCCTTCTCTTGCACCCTCCTGTCTACACGGGAATCTGTGGCACGGCGTACTTGGGGCACCACGTCATTTATTTTCTGTGCTCTGGTCATTCTGGGAAGCTGTGGCTGTAATGGCCTCATGTGAACCCCACTTCCTGCTGTTAAGCTGAGTGGTCTGAGCATCCCTTACCTCAGGCTTCTAGACTAGCATGGGGAGGGACCACTGAGCTCATCAGCAAGATGTGAGCTGAGCAGTAGCTGCCTGGGACACACTCAGTACCTAACCGTTTCCTTCTGGAAGAGTCAGGGATTAAGGCTATTCCATAGGTTCCAGTTCTGCCTTCTCTGAGGATGACCATTTGCATACCTCTTGTGATGGGGAACTTCCTCTCAACCCTGGTGGCCTACTTTTGTTTATATCAGGGATTAGTGGATGGTCATGCTCGCCGTGCCAAACCCAGCGGCTGCCTGTGGTTGTAAATAAAGCGTTACTGGAATGTGGTCCCGATAGCAATTCATTTACTGTCTCTGTAGTTCTTCTGAGATCATAGCAGAGTTGAATTGTGACAGAAGCCATGTGGCCTGTGCAACCTGGCTGGCTGTAGACAATATTTGCTGTCCCCTGCCTTAGGAGGCTAGTAGAGGTGAGGCGCGTTCTTGCCTAGACATTCTCATGGCTCCTTCTTCTCAATGGCTTCTGGCAGTCACACCTCTCCCGGTCCTCCCTTGTAGTCCCAGTGTCTGAACGCTGTGGATATCCTCAACGTAAACGTGAAGTGTTGGGAAAGAGAGAACTGGCGCAGGGTGAAGACCTGCAGCTTCCGTCCCTTTGACAAGCGTGAGTACAGAGTCCGGGTTTGTGGGTCCCATCTCTCCTGGTAGTCATCAGCCTCTGATCCCTCCTCAAACCTGCCCTCTCGCCTACCTGGAGAGCTCCCCATCCCAACCCTCTCCTCTTCATCATACCCCACCCCTGCCTGGAAGATCCCACCTAGTTGTGAGTTTGTCTCCCTTGCTGGTCCGGGAACCACCTGAGGGCAGACTCTCTGCTGACCCTGCAGCTCCTCTCTGAGCACCCAACTCTAGGCCCGAGCAGGCAGTGCTTGTTTGCAGAAGGGTTGTTGAATGACTGAGTGACCTTGGAGGCCACCTCTAGAGAAAAGAAGGGGTAGAGGGGAGATCCATGCAGAATCCAAATCGCAGCTTTGTCTTGACTCAGTCCGGCAGGCGGAGGTCATTGAACATGTTGGGTCTTAGTTTTGTTCTTTGTAAAGTGGGAGAACTGAGGTCCTCGTGACAGGAAGGAATGTGAGCTAGGATGCATGAACTGCTCAGTACCTCGGCGTGGGAAAAGACTTGCGTTTTGTGGGTGGACAGAATCTTGGAGTTACAGATTTAGAACAGTTTGCTTCAGGAAAAATGAAGTAAATATCATATTTAAAATCCACACAGGCTGGGTGTGTGGCTAGAACACTTGCCAAGCTTGTGCCAAAACACTCTCACTAATATTAATAGACAAATATATTGAATAAATGAATAAATGTATACATATAGTGTAACTGAGAAATAAATCAGGCATGTTTATGATTTATATTTGCATTTAATAAGTATACCTGCGGAATACACAGATATAAATTTATATTAAATGCTATGCAATTAAGCTATATATTTATAATTACTTACATTTATGTTTTATACTACATAAATGTATTCATATGAGCACAAATACATCAATAATATAGATACTTGGATAAAATAAAGTACATGATCTGATTCCTGTACAGATCTCAGATCAGTATTCAAGCAGGGCAAGGCTGCTTGCCAATCACTCAACAGCAGGTTAGTCATCCTGGAAAGTGCCTCAGGAACCAAAGGCTCATCAGACATCCCAGACCCTGACTCAGGCAACCCAGGAGGGGGTGGGCAAAAAAGGAGGAAGATCCCAAATAGACTCATTCTGTCAGGTGTAGGCGGACTAACAAGAGGAGGGTTGCAAAACTGAGGAGAAGCAGGTGCAGAGAAAGAGCAGGTGCAGAGAAGGAGGAGAAGCAGGTGCAGAAGAAGAGGAGAAGCAGGTGTAGAGGAAGAGCAGATGCAGGGAAGAGCAGGTGCAGAAGTGGATGAGAAGCAGGTGCAGAGGAAGAGCAGGTGCAGAGGAAGAGCAGGTGCAGAGGAAGAGCAGGTGCAGAGATGGATGAGAAGCAGGTGCAGAAGAGGAAAAGCAGGTGCAGAGGAGGTGGAACAGGTGCAGAGGAAGAGTCAGGGCAGTTTCTGAGGAAGAGTCGGTGCTGGGGATGTTGTGTGGTGCAAACTGGGCTAATGTTCTTGGTATCTTACTGATTGGTCCATGATATCTGTTCCCTCCTCTCTGTCTGCAGTTCGCCTGCGGGCCCCTCATTCACTCCAAGTCCTGCACATTGAAACCCAGAGATGCAACATAAGCTGGGAGGTCTCCCAGGTCTCTCACTACCTTTATAGTGATTTGGAATTTGAGGCCCGCAAACGTTCCCTGGACCACAGCTGGAAGGTGAGGACATAGCCAATTCCCTGCCTCTGGTGCATGCCCTTGTCCATTTCTACAGGCTGGAGTGTGGCTCTTTCACCCTGGTCCTCCTATATTGCTCGGCACTGCTTGCTCTCCCATACTCTTAGAGCCTGAGGATGCCTCTGGGTCCACATCTGTGTAGACCCCAGGGCAAGGCAACCTGTGAGGCTCTGCAGCTGTGTTCCACATCCCAAATCCAGCACATTCCCTGGCTTCAGGGGGCCAAAGGACAGTGGACTGAGACTCATCACCCGCACACTCATTCCCATACTTACCTGGGGACTCCGGGATTCAGGGTCAAAGCAGCTGGGGGAACAGGGAGCTTTTGGGAGGGCCAGGGAGAGGTTGCTTGCTTAGCCTCTTGACCTGGTTGTGGGAGATGAGACCAGTGGAGACCTTGCTGACTGGGTACACATCTCTGCTTAGGATGCACCCCTGCTAAGCCTCAAGCAACGACAACAGTGGATCTGCTTGGAGACACTTACCCCTGGCACCTCATATGAGCTCCAGGTGCGGGTTAGGGCCAATCGAGGTTCCCAGGGGTCCTGGAGCCCCTGGAGCCAGCCCCTGGCTTTCCGGACAAGGCCAGCAGGTACAGTGGGGAGCATGGAGGGAGCTGGGCAGGGGCCAGGGTGCCCTGGGAGCTGTAGAGGTGGGGGCTGCACCTCCCATAGACTCACCAGAGACAGGGCTACACGCTAGTGAGGGACCCATGAGGGCCCATCCTTCAACATGTCACTTGCTACACTCAAGAGATACAGAAGCTCTAGGTGTGCTTCTCAATGGTAGCCTCAGTGGCTGAGGTGAGAGTCAGGCAGTACATCCATGGGCTCTTCTGGGAATGCCACCAGGCCATGGCTTTTAAGTAGTCTGCCTTTCTGGACTGGTGGACTTAAGCAGGACTGAGGACCAAGTCCTCATTAAAAACAAACCTGGCTAGATACTGTTCAGGGCGCAACATGGGGGGGGGGGGTGGGGTGGATCTGGGATTGAGGAAACCTCCTGAGGGGCCACCTCTCACCTCCCACTTCTTACACCCTGGACAGATCCCTGGAATCTGCCCCTAATGTGGCCCAGACAACTTCTCCTGGGCCTTGGTTGTCTTTTTGGCTTCATGGTCTGTGTCTACGTTTTGTTCAAGTGCCAGTACCTGGGCCCATGGTAAGGAAGTTCCTGGCCAGTATTCCCTTCCCAGCTCGTCTCTGTGTCTCTGTGCCGCACATCTTTCCAGGCTGGGCTGGGCTGAATCCTGCTTCCTCACACCTGGCCTCTCTGTCCATTCCTCTAATAGCTAACTGTCCCTGCGCCCCATCCCCAAAGGTGGAAGCTAGTAGGGGAAGGGGAGGTAGAACAGCAGGGAGAACCCCTTGGCCCTCCCTAAAGTCACAGGGGCCTCTGAGCATCTTTCCCATTGCTCTTGGTCCCCTGCTATGCATTCCAACCATGCCACACTCTTGCCTAACTGTTCTTAGAGATTCCCCCGCCTAATCAATAGTATATCCAGATTGCCGAAGGCCTCCACTAGAAACTGTGCCAATCAAAAAGTGGCTCCCCTTGCTCCAGTTAGATACGCTCGTGTTCTGGGCATCTTAGCAAGCAGAACATGAGGGAGAGTTCAGCTTCCACTCACTGTCTCCCTAAGGCCAGCTGCTGTTATACAATGTGTGGTGGGCACCACCATCCATGGGAGTGCTCACTAGGCATCACTCCTGCTTCCCTCTCCAGTCTGTGTGATCTCTCCCATTCAAGGGCCATCTTTTGGCTAGTACTCAGTTCCGGGTCCACAGAGTGAGCCACCCTGTTACACATTTAGTTCAGGTCTGTCTTGCCAGTGTGCCAGCTCCTAGAGAGTAGAGAGGCCTTCTCTGCTGCCCACGCTTGTGTCCCCAGTACCCTGTGCAGTGCTCTCCCGTCAACACTGTTGAATAAATGACTGGATGCGGGAGGGGCCGTCCCCTACTCTCAGGGCTGGGGAGCTGGTGGTAGGACACCATGCCACCCCCTCCTTGTCCTCACCCTTCCCCCTTCCCTCCTCTTCCCTGGCCTTGCCCTTCACCCCTCCTTCTCTTTCCTGGCCAGGCTGAAGACTGTTCTCAAGTGCCACATCCCAGACCCCTCTGAGTTCTTCTCCCAGCTGAGCTCCCAGCATGGAGGAGACCTTCAGGTAGGAGCCTGGGGTGCAGGGGTGGAGGTGTTGATAGGCAGCCTAAGGATAGGCTGCAGGGCAGAGATGTGATCAGGTGACAATGGCCAAGTGACAATGGCTTTGCCCTCAGCGAGAGGACACAGGGTGCTGAAGTGAGCAGCCTCTTTCATGGGCACAGCTCTGTCCCTGCTCTGGCATGTGTGCCTTCTAAGCTACGCAGCCTTGACTTGAACTTTGGCTCTGTCATGCCTGGCTGTGTACAGTTGTGTAAGTTATAGATCCTCCCAGTGTCTTAGTTTCCTCACTTGTACAATTGGGGAAGAAATTAGGCTTAATGAGTGTACAGCCCAGTGGATGTTGACAGACACAGTGTGGGTGCTGGAGAGTTGCAGGGGCTCCCCTTGGCTTCTGTCCCTGTAGGCAGAGCGATCCCTGGCAGGCCCAGTGATGTCACGGTGACACAAATCCTCGGATCACCTGGAATCACAAAAAAAGTGTGGCCCCTACAGTAGCAACCTCACTCCTAGTCTATCTACTTCAGGCTAGAAGCTTTGAGAAGCAAGGGGTGGATACAGGGTGAGGGGAATCTACTGTTACCCCCTCCAGCTTGACTGCTGTTCCCATGATTGGGAAGCTTGTGGGGGGCAAAGGGGCTTGAGGATAATGGGAGGGAGGTCTAGGCTGGGCTCTAGTCCTGCTGGCCTGGTCTTGTGTGCCTCATTAGGACTGAGCAGGGTCCTTCTAGAATCTTTGAGAGACTCCCAGAACTAAGGGTGTCTTTTTATCGTACTCTTGGTGGTGTGTGTGTGTGTGTGTGTGCGCGCGCGCACGCACGCATGCATGAGTACAGGTATGTGTGTGCATGTGTGAGTACATGCACGCACATGCATACCTAGTACTATGGCTGTGTTCATCTAGCATGTGGTCTAGGCTGATAAGTCCAGAAAGTCCATCAAGATAGCAAGTCTCCGGGATGCTTCTAGGTCAGAGGTGGGGTGGAGGCTGGATGCCTCTGGAGGATGGAAAGCAGGAGGAAGGGAAGGAGAAGGAAGAGTTGAGTTCAGTGGTGGAGTAGGAAGTAGAGAAACCCACTCACTCTCCTCCCTTTCTCTGGCAGAAATGGCTCTCCTCGCCCTTCCCCTCATCCTCCTTCAGCCCCAGTGGCCCTGCACCTGAGATCTCTCCACTGGAGGTGCTGGACAGAGACAGCAAAGCCATGCAGCTCTTCCTGCTACAGCAGGACACAGCCTCCTCACCCTCGCCCAGCGGCCATTCGCAGGCCAGCTGCTTCACCAACCAAGGCTACTTCTTCTTCCATCTGCCCAATGCCTTAGAGATTGAATCCTGCCAGGTGTACTTCACCTATGACCCCTGCATGGAAGAGGACATGGAGGACGATGGGCCAGGGCTGCCCCAGGGATCTCCCCTCCCATCTGTGCTTCCTCTGGCTGGGGACGAGGACGACTACTGTGACTTCCCACCCAGGGATGACCTGTTGCTCTTCTCCCCCAGCCGGAACTCCCCTAACACTGCCTTTGGGGGAGCAGCAGCTCTTGAAGAAAAGCCTCCCCTCTCTGTGCAGGAGGGATGTACCCCGCTACCATCCCCTGATCTGATGGGTTTGCAGTGCCCTCTGGAGCTGGTGGCGCAGGGAGGTGACGGGGAGAGGCTGCCTGCTCATAGCTCAGGGGAGCAAGCCGGTGTCCCCGAAGGTAGCCCTTGTGGGCAAGGTCAGGACAGGGCCCTGGCCTCTGTCTTGCCTCTGAACACTGATGCCTATCTGTCTCTTCAAGAACTACAGGCCCAAGATCCAGCCTACCTGGTATAGCCAGCTGACCAGGATTTGGGATCCAGCTGCCTAGGTCAGGTCAGGCTTAGGGGGGACCAGTTGAGAACTGTCCCTGGTCATCCACACCCCAACACTTAGTCATCCACGTTTGAGCTCTACTTGCTGCTCTATGGTCCAGCCAGGATCTGAGGTGGGGAGGGCTGGTCAGCTCTGCCTCCCTGTGTAGTCACTAGCTTCCTGGACTTGCCTTACTCCTTCCTGCTTACAGGGCAGCCAGGACCTGCTTCCCCCCAATACAAATGTGCCCATGTTCTTCTCCTATCCTTGAGCTTTCTGTGGCTTTGTCGCTTTCAGCACTGCTGTGGGACAGCTGTCCTCAGGGTGTGATGTCTTAGTCAGAGCAGCTGTGTCCACCCAAACTAAGAGCTCCTGATAAGACCGGACACAGCCTGTTGACTGTTGACATTTCATCACAGAAGGAGGGGGTGGGAAGGGCCATCAGACTGTCACCGGAGATCAACAGCCACTCTCCTGCACCCCCATTCCCAGCTATGGGTAATTCTGCCCCTGGTGCCTGTGGTTTTTGGGAAGATGCTGGCATTTGCAAGGGGGAAGGTTTGATGTAACTATGGGAACACCATCACCTATTCTGGGTCTGGATTTTCTGTGATACAGCTGTTTTGGAATCACCTATCCTCCTGTAAGTAAGCCTAGAAGACTCAGTGGTTCACCAAGCTGGCCTTGAGTGGATTTGTGCCTTCGACACCATCTCTGGGAGAAGCACATATTTGCTCACGTATCTCCCTCCCTGCAAAAAGCTTACACAACATGCATTGTGTGTCAGCACCAACCTTTGTGGAAACCTCACAAGAATCCTATGGGGTCTCCTGGAGTCCCCCTTTGACTCACACCTATTCAGGGATTCTTTGTTGTGCCTCACTTAGGTGACAAACATCCCTCATCTTCACCTGTAAGTCCGTGCTTCTAAGGGCGGTGCTGCTTCCTGAACGCGTTCAAATTTCCCCAGTTCGTACTAGAAGGAGATGATGCGGACAGCTCCTGACCCATCTTCCTTCTTCGGAGCTATTGCCTGACTTCCCAATGATAGGCTCAGCGTGGACATAATTACCAACACAGCAGTGGCTTCTGGATCTTTCCATGCCCACCTCACCAGTTTGTGAGGGAGCCTACTGGACTGCGAGCCCCAGGTTCCAGAGGTCCAGGCAAGGATGACATGCCTGGATGTACCATCTCACCCTCAGAGGAGAGCATTGTTCTCTACAGGCAGCTCCTCCAGCACAGAGCCTCAGTGTCTGTCACTGTCCCAGGGTTGATGGCACCATGGTGATCAGATCCCACCTGCTGACAGAAGCAGAAACTCATTCCTAGCTAGTGGATGCCCTACCCACAGTGCCTGCCTCATGGTTCCTGCTCACTAAGCATTGGCTGGCTGGCCAGACCACAGGTTGATGGGCAGCCTGGGCACAGAAGGTCTGTCACAGAGGCTGGGCCTGATCTAACCAATCAGATTATCTCTCAATCGGATGTCCTGGCCCCTAATACAAGGCCCCTAAGCTTAGCAAGAAGAGATGAGCCAATGCAGAAGGTGTTCAGTTCTCATGCATGAGTTTTCCAGCCTGCCAGAGGTCAGGCGTCCTGCTTCTTCTGTGTGAGACTCCACACATCCCCTCCTGCCACAGGATGCTGTGTGTGACCATCCTCCTGTCTCAACGATGAATCAGACCTGCACTTGCGCCCACACCAATGACTGCATATCCCAAGCAAACGTAAACCTTTGGAATTCTCTTGCTTTAGCTCCCACACAGAATTAGAACTTATTTTCACTGTCTGAAAAGGTCTGGGGAGGATTTGGTTCTTTCTCTTTTAATGATCTGTGTGTGGCATCTTTGCAATGAATTCCTGAGACATTTTAAAACACATTCATTTTGTTTGTTTGCTTTATCACATATATTTAAAGATTTTTTTTTTTTAAGTTTTTTGAGACAGGGTTTCTCTGTAGCTTTGGAGCCTGTCCTGGCACTAGCTCTTGTAGACCAGGCTGGTCTCGAACTCACAGAGATCCGCCTGCCTCTGCCTCCCGAGTGCTGGGATTAAAGGCGTGCGCCACCACCGCCCGGCTTAAAGATTTTTTTTATCATATCACGTCTATGGCTGGAAAAATCTTCTTATAAATAAAAGGCGATTGTAAAAAGCAGGTACCATAAAACTGCGTAATGTGTGGATCTGATCTGGGTGTGGAGCCTAGTGGCAGAGAACTGCCTTGCTGGTTCCATCCCTGGTGCTGCAAGAGAAAGAGGAAAGGGATGGTATTTATTTCATTGCTGATGGAAGTCTGTCATCTCAACCCGGATGCTGCTGGAGACATAGGGAAAACTCTGTGAACAAAGTGTGGCTGTTGAGAACATCTTTGTCACTGATAGGAATCAGGTCTCTGTGCACAAATATGCACCAGCTTCTCACATCCAGCCTTGGGCAAGTGTTCCAACGGATCATGGATAGATCTATCATCCATTTATCTATCTGCCTCTCTCTGTCTCTGTCTCTCTCTGTGTGTCTCTGTGTGTGTGTGTGTGTCTGGCTATCTTAATAATCACTTTTCAAGTATTAGGACTTTTGCAGTGTCTTGACAAACAATAGCTGGCAATCTCTAGCGTCCATGAAGCTGCACACGTGGCAGACATTGCTAATTGATTATACTTATGCATGACAGACATTGCTAATCAATTGCACCTGTATTGATTATACTTATGCATGGCAGACATTGCCAATCAATTGCACCTATATTGATTATACTTATGCATGGCAGACACTACTAGTCAATTGCACCTATACATGGCAGATATTTCTAATCAATCGCATCTATACGGGGCAGACACTGATAACCAATTACACCTGTGCCTGGTAGACATTAACACTTAATCACAGCCTTCCTTCCACCAGAGGCTGCATGCAGCTTTTAGATTCTGCAGGTCTGTTTCTGGGGCTGGCCCAAATGATGAGAGCAGGCACCTAGTGACATGTCCGGGTTCCACTGCCTGTTTCCTTTTACGAAGTGAGCTCTTCGCTTTCCCTGGCTGACTCTCCAGGCAGGGAGAACAGATGCTGAGGTGATGCAGCCCTGAAAGCTGAGAGGGCGATGAAGGCGCAAGGGGCCCAGAAGCCCAGCTGTTCCTGTATCTGGTGAGAGACCTGTGCTGGCTCTGGGTAGAGAAAGGAGCCACCATATGCCAGGTGGAGATGGAACCATGAGTCAGTGCCACTGCATGCCCTAGGGAGATCTTGGGAGAGGGACCAGGAGGGGGCAGCTGGCAGGGTAGTGATGGGAAGGGGGTGTCAGGATTCCCAGGGTCAGATTTCAGGGGAAAGGCACCAGCTGGAGAGCAGGTACCCTCACCCAGGCTCTGGAGAGCCTCGGGTGCAGAGTGGGGAGCAGGAAGCAGCTGGGAGCACCTAGGGGCTCAGGGAAGGGGAGGAGGGGAGGAGCTCCAGGCCTCTCCTGTGTTCTTGTTAGCTTGGTCTGTACCTTCATTCCCCAGGTCGCATCTCTGATCTAAGCAACTTCCAGAGCCCAAGTTTTCAGGTGAATTATGGTAGGAATAGTTTGTTCAAGGCAAAGACAAAAATCCCGCCCTGCCTTCCTCATTGTGATGCTCAGCAGAGGAAACCCCAGGAAAGCGAAAGCAAAACTAAAGCACCAAAGCGTGTTAGAGGCAGGTACCGTGGCTCAATCCTGAACCCTAGCAGGTACCGTGGCTCAATCCTGAACCCTAGCAGGTACCGTGGCTCAATCCTGAACCCTAGCAGGTACCGTGGCTCAATCCTGAACCCTAGCAGGCACCGTGGCTCAATCCTGAACCCTAGCAGGTACCGTGGCTCAATCCTGAACCCTAGCAGGTACCGTGGCTCAATCCTGAACCCTAGCAGGTACCGTGGCTCAATCCTGAACCCTAGCAGGTACCGTGGCTCAATCCTGAACCCTAGCACAGGGGTTCTGAGGCAGGGGCTCTCAGGTTTGAAGGTAGCCTGGTTCATATAGTGAGTTCCAGGCCAGTCTGAACTATAGGACAAGACCCTGTTCCAAAATAAACAAATAAATTTGAATAAATAAATTTGAATGAATAAATAAATTTGATTGAATAAATAAATAAATTAATGCAAACCAGTCAGTTCTTTCTGCTCCCACCAAAGAAACATTTTGCCTGTCATGGCTTTGAGAGGTGGGCCTTGTTTCCCATTTTGCAGATGAGGAAACCGAGACAAACAGGAACATAACTGATTTCCATTGTCACGTGTTGATCTCTGAGGCTGAAGCAGCCCTATACTCAAGCAATCCACTCACAGACTCCTACGGATCCCTCAGAACCCCATTGAGAATTCCCATTTCTGGGAGGCCCTCTGAGCTCCTCCTCTTGAGTTGAGGCGATTCGTCTGGAGACTCTGCTCTAAGCATTGTGTTGTTGATATGCTCCAGCCTCACTTCTGTGCCCTGTGGTGCTGATGTTGTTTTCATCCCTTTTTACAGATGAGGTCTGAACTCAGAGTGATCTGATGACTCCCTTTGGGTCACACAGCTAGAACACGGCAGAGAAAGGGTATGAACCGGGGTCATCTGTGACACTGCCACCGGCCCAGATTGTCAACGCTCTTTTTTTTTTTTTTTTTTTTTTTGGTTTTTCGAGACAGGGTTTCTCTGTGGTTTTGGAGCCTGTCCTGGAACTAGCTCTGTAGACCAGGCTGGTCTCAAACTCACAGAGATCCGCCTGCCTCTGCCTCCCGAGTGCTGGGATCAAAGGCGTGCGCCACCATCGCCCGGCTGTCAACGCTCTTTAAAGCAGGTACCAACGAGTATCTCAGGACATCTGGCAAGAACCTGAGGCAAGAGTGACGGCATCTGCGACCCAACGGGATGCTGCCACACGCCCTGCCACAGTGAGTTTAGTGAGACGGGAGGGTGTGGATGAAACGTAAGTTCACTAGAGGCTCTGAGCCTGACCCTATGTCAGCCCTGGGACAGCCCCTCTGCTGACATTTTCCGACCCCAGGGACGTGACACACCCACTGGGGACCTTGAGAAAGCAAAGCAGGAAGTGGGCCTGCATGAGACCCGGGGCGCAGGGTGCCAGGAGGCACCCTTGGTTCCAGGAAACCAGGGTGCTGAGGAGAGAGAGCAGCTGGTGGAGAGGCCAGCTTCTCCACCCCTCTGCGTACCTGGCCTCAGGCAACATGTATGCAATAGGTGCTGGCCTCATGTGGGGCAAGCACATAGGCAAGCAGTTGTAGGTACACAATAGGTACCTGGAGCTGGAGTGTCTGCAGAGGCCTCAGCCTCGTGAGGAAGGAGTGACCATGGAGGGTGCAGACAAGTTGTCAACACTCACGAGACTGTCCCCACACCTGACTCAAGACCTCATCAAGGAAGCAGACTGCTCAAGCAGGAGGGAGGATGTGTGTGTGTGTGTGGGGGGGTGCCTTCGAGGGCGTTCAACTCAAGCTCAGTGAGACTTGGAAGCACCTGATGGACAGAAATAACAAAGCTGTCCATCTGTGCATTCAACACTCTTGTTTAAAGGCTGGTGATGTGCAAGGCAGATGCAGGATGACAAAGGAAAGGAAGACGGCTGCCACCTACACCGCAGCCCTCGATGGCTGGAGAAAGAATGGTCCCAGCCTTCTGGAGCTGCATAGCCTGTGCAATGTTCTGGCTCTGCCACCTGCCGGCTGTGACCTTGGATGGGTACCAAAGCTTCTCTGTGCTTTTGTTTCCTTATCCTGGTGACCCCAGGGCTGTCAGGAGTATAAAGCATGTGATGTACTTAGAAGATAGAACTGTGACGAGGTATTCTGGGAATGGTGAGTGTGGAAGCCCCCAACTCACTGCTTGCTACTGGGGCTCTTGTCTGCCTTGCAGCCCACAGGGGCTCTGGTGGCCCTTC